GGCCTGAGAGGGACCCCCAGGAACTGGAAGGAGGCCCAGCTGCCCCTCACCCTGGACCCCCTCTCCTCCCTGCCATAGGGCTGTCTGCCCCGCTGCGGCACTGGACAGAGACACCACCCGTGCCACTTCTAGGCCCCAGCTGTCGGGGCTAGCAGGCCCCTTGGGGCTGGACCAGGGGCTGGGTCTCATGGTCCCTGTGATTGAGCTCACCCCATGGGTGAGCAGGGTGCGCTCCCACTCCCGTCTTCCTTGTTGCATTCGGAGCCTGTCCTGCTGTGTGCGGGAACTGGCCCACTCACATCCCCCGTCCCCACCCCACCCCCACTTCTCAAACATATAATCTCATCTGTGGGCAGTTTGACACTCCCTGAGCCAGGTAACAGAGAGAGCTCTCGATGGCCGCGAGGAGGGCCAGAGAGGGTGGGCAGTCTAGATGGAGCCGCCCACTGGGTCTCCTTCTAAATGGATCCACCAGCTGAGTCTCCTTCAAGATCGAGTCCACCTATTGGAGTTTCTTCTAGATCAGGGGTTCTCAACCTTCTTCATGCTGCGACCCTTTCGTACAGTCCCTCATGTGGTGGTGACCCCCCAACCATAACATTATTTTTGTTGCTACTTCATCACTGTCATTTTGCTAAAGGCTTTGGGACCCACAGGTTGAGAACCACTGTTCTAGAGAGATCCACCAGCTTGGTCTTCTTCTAGATCCATGAGCTGAGTCTTCTAGCTGGATCTATCTCCGTTGAGACAGAACTACCAGTGGGGGCTTCTAGATAGATCCAATCGCTGATCTTCTCCTAGATACATGGCCAGCTCTGTCTTCTCGTTAAGATGCACGGCTGTTGCTATAGGTCCTTGGAAGGTTGTGGTAGTCTTCGGTGGACAAGTCAAACCGTGGACCTGCGGCGAGTTTGAGGGATTTTCTGACCCATTCCAGCACCTAAGGGGAGCATCCTCCTCCTCTGCCTCACCATGAGGTCCCACCCGTCCTGTGAATCACAGAGAACTCATCAGGGTCAGTGGGAGCAAGGCGCCGGCTGAGGACTGCAGACCAGGGTGACAGCTCTATGCAAAGTCCACCTCCGGGTTCCCGAACCTGACCCATGGCTGACAGTGGTGCCTGCAGGTAGAAGGGGTCCAAGCACCTCCTCCAGATGAGCACCAGCCAAGAGTCTGCCCCGCAAGCAACCAGCAATTAGTGTTGGAGCCTCCTGCCCACCCTCTGCAGGCAACCTTCCTCTTCCCAAAGCCAGCGGTGGCTTGAAGATGGTATTGGGGCATAAGGGTGCCCATACTTTTCCTTCCAGATTGAGAAAACCCGAGCCATACCCATCTCTATGAATGTTTGTGAAACTGGCGTGATTAATTGGAATAAATGATTGGATTCATCTGGTTTACAACATGAAGTGGTTTGTGTCATGTCACATGACTTAGGCTTGAGCCACACCTATTGGTTCCGGAGAAGAGTTGGGCCCCAGGTGACCCAACACTCTCAGTTCCCTCGGGGACCGCCTGGTCATGAAGTTGGAGGCCCCAGCAGGTAGGCAGGTAGACTGTTCCTGATCCTGATGGTGGCCTGTCCTGTGCCCTCCCATCCTGACCCCCGCCCTCCGATCAGCTACGCCTGCTTTCACGGTCTGTTCCCCACCCCATGGCCACCAGAGCTGCTCCCAAAGGTCCCGGGTCCAAGGGCACCAGGCAGCCAGCACGAGAGAGCTGCTGGAGACCCAGGTGGACTCTTCAGAAACCCTCCCCGACCACCCGTGAGACCGTGCACTCAGACCTGAGGTTTCCTCTTGGTTTCTCACATGTCAATCTTGTCACCCAGTTTGGCACCCCCAGAGGGCGTGAGTTGCTGGGTCCTGCTGGGCCCCGCCTCCTCTTTCTTCTGTACACCGCCCAGTCACACCCAGAGGGCTGCAACTCACCGAGCTGGGGCCACTGCCCCGCCAGGACTGGACTCGGGACCCACCGGCCCCCACGCTGCCCATAT